GATGACGATGACTAAAGACCCACCGAACGACAGTAGCTGCTACCACTATTTTTGGCCTTCCATTCCCTCTGCCTTCCCTTCCCTTTGCTTTCTCTAATGTTCCCTCAGCGCCTGTACCACCGTTTCCCCTGGCAACCTCAACCTTTTGTTTGTTTGTTTGTTTGCTCCCCACTCCATTTGCCGCCACCACCGAATCAGCCTCAAATGACTCGAACGTTTAGAGTAGAGTGTTATCGTTGTTGTTCCTGTGTTACCCTACTAGACTAATAAATCTTGAAAGAGAGTGTTCGGTTCCCTTGAAATGACCATGCAGCGATCCGCCCAGCCACCACACCCCCTGCTGCACCGCTACGAGCCCCTCTGGCAGGACCGGGACATTCGCTTCGACGCCGCCTCCTCGGAGCTGTCCCTCCGACCGGGCGAGCGGGTCATCGAGGCCTTCTCCCGGGTGGAGGACACCAAGGGCAACACCGGCGAGGTGGGCAAGTTCACGGTGACCAATCTGCGCCTCATCTGGCAGTCGCTCTCCAAGCCGCGCATCAATCTCAGCATCGGTAAGTGAACTCTTTTGGTTAAATAAAACTAAAACCTTCTTCACCCCAGGCTTCAACAACATCACCACCATCACCAACCGGCTCATCCACACGAAGCTGCGCGGCCGCAACGAGGCGCTGTACATGATGACGAAGGTCAACGGGACCCGGTACGAGTTCATCTTCATCCGCCTGGAGCCGGTGCTGGGCGTCAGCCGGGAGATGGTCGACCTGGTGGGCGCCGTCTGCAAGGCCTACGTCAGCACGCGCCTCTACCGGGACCTCCGCCTCCGCTCGGCCATTCTCGCCGTCAGCTCGAAGCAGCTGAAGATGCTGCAGTCGGAGCAGATCTACAGCAGTGTGGGCGGCGTGTGGAATCTCAGCTCGGACCAGGGCAATCTGGGGACGATGTACCTCACTAATGTGCGGGTGGTGTGGCACGCCAACATGAATGAGCTCTTCAACATCTCCCTGCCCTTTATTCAGGTAAGTGGGAAGAGGAGATAATACTAAATCGAACTAATGATGATCATGCCCCCTTCAAACGCAGATTCGAAACATCAAAGTGCGCGAGTCCAAGTTTGGCCTGGCGCTGGTCATCGAGTCGAGCGAGTCGAGCGGCGGCTACGTGCTCGGCTTTCGCGTCGACCCCGTCGAGAAGCTGAACTCGGTCTTTGAGGAGCTGAACAACCTCTACACGGTTCACTCGGCCACGCCCGACTTTGGCGTACACGCCTACCTCTCCTACAATGCCGAGGCCAGAGGAGGGGGTGGAGGGGATTTCAATGGAGAAGGGGTCGATGGACACGGGGGCATGCCCAATCTAATGGGATCGGGAGCAGAAGGAAGTGGTGGGGGTGATGGGAACATGAGCGCAATGATGGCCATGATGACTGCCGGTGCTGGTGGTGGAGGAGGTGGACTGCACGGATTCAGTGCCGGAAGCCTGGAGGGGAACTTTACTTCTTCGGATGCGGCTGGGGCAGCTGCGGCGGCCGCCGCTGCAGGCGTGTCTACCTACGAAGAGATGGCCGGCGAGGGAGGCAATGGCTTTGATGAGGGAGTTTCGGGTAATGGTGGTGGTCACCACTCATACGGAGACGCAGTGGCCGCCTATCTCGCGGAGGGCGAGTCCTCAGAGACGGCAGGCAAACGACATGAGTGGGTGTATGTGCCCGCACTGGGGCTGTCCATTGAGAAGATCAAGGATGGCTACACGATGGAGTCACTCTGGGAGGTGGTCGAATCGTGAGGGTTAGGGAGTTGGGTGTTCCAAGAAGATCATATATCACTTTTCTTCTTTGTATCACCTTCAATGATTGTAAACATTAATAAAGAACGTTTTGCTCGTGATCTTGTAGTTGTTTGGTGGCTGTACGAGGATCAGGATTCGGGATTTCCTTGAGGATTCCTCATTTCAATAGGGAGCAATATGGCAGCCTTAAACAGCGCAAAGTGAAAAAGGGGCGGCAACAAAAGCTGCCGATTCGGGTGTGCATCAATGTAAACATACATTGACATGTATGAATTCTTACTCAATTCTGCTCCGAAAAAGTGGTTAGTAGTTTTAAACAAAAGATAAAAGCATAAACTAACAATTAGAAAGAAAACTCGGTCCTAATCGGTGCAGTTTAAGGGAGAAAATTGGATCCAAAATGGACACTTTGGGTTCAGGCAGAGGGAGCAAACTCCGCCCAGAAAAACACTGCAGTTTTAGTTCACATGCCCGTTCGGAGAGTTGTCTAGGCGCTCGGACAACTCCCCGAAAAGGTGCTTGTGACCGAAATGTATCAAACCACGCCTTAAAATTTAAAACTGAAGTTTCTTAGTGATCAGTTCATTTTAAAGTTTCGAATTTTGGTCTATCTTGAAGAAAATTGCCTGGCGCACATTTCTAGCTAAGTTTCAACTTGATCAAAGCAATGCTTCATTGTTAAAAATTGCTTTGAAATTTTCAGATTGCAATTTTGATAAGAAAATTGAGTTAACTGCAAACACCTGTTATTGTCAAATAATTAACTCGTCTTTACAAGCAGTTTGCATAAAGAATTACAAAAATCAACCAAGAAGTTTTTAAGATAAAAATTTTCAAAGTTTTAAAACAGTTTTTTGCCGTTTTCCCGAGCATGGGACATGTTAGGACCTTGGTTTTAGTTCCGAAAAACCCCAATTAGCCGTCTACACAAACGCTCGGACGCACTTGGCCATATCTCAAACCGTTCTCGAGATATGACAAAAACGAAATTCCCAGGGGAAAACTTAAAAATGCCCACTAAACTTTCTTCCCGGAAACTTTTCCTTCAAAAAATTCCAGAAAGATTTCCCAGACGATGACTTGGCGCTCTTTTGTTGTTGACGCTCTCACTTTCGCTGGTTCTTTGGTCGAGTCATTATCATCTCCGTCTCCGTCTCATTTGTGATCCAATCACTGGTCCTGGTACTTCACCCGCTTCGGTACCGGTTTCGCCTTCACCTGCCGATCAAGAAGAAGAAGACGAAGATGATGGCAAAACACCTCTCTCTGGACACGTCGGACGACCCTTTTCTCCTCCTCTTCTCCTCCCTTCAACCGGTAAGTCTCGTGCTGTTTCTTCTTACTTTTGCTTTGGTCAATTTCTCCTCATTTCGTTAGTGATAACTGAGTCAGTCCGTTAGCTGCAGCCGGCACTTGGCTCCACCACCACCACAGCTGTCGCGCCACTTTCCTCTCCTGAGGGTTCTCTCTTCTCGGTACTCTTTAACCTACAAAGAGAAAGCTGATGTTGTGGGCCAGTGCCGCTGTACAGTGTTCCCATTCTCTGCTATAGCCGATGGTCTCTCTCTCTCTTTCTCTGTCCCAGCAGCACTAATGGTCTGCCGGAGCCAGCCGTACACTGCTCTGTGCTCTGTGCCTTGTGCCTGCTTTCTTGGTTCATTGATCTAAAAATAGACTCTCAGAGGGGAAACGGAGGGAAGGCAATGGCCACGCTCTAACTTGCTGTGCTGCTGCTGCTGGTCGTGGACACTCGCTCACTTTTGCCTCTTTCTCCCTCTCTTTCTCCGGGTCTTTCTCCCCTTCTGCCCTAAAAATGTCATTATTAAAGAGGAATATTCTTTTGTGATTCAAATACGCGAGCCAAGAATCGAGCATTGAATTGAGAATTTGAAGAGGAGGAAATAGGAAGCCAGTGAGTAACGGGGCAACGACGGAGAAGCTGCAGCAACAGCAGCAGCTAATCGACCGACCCTTTCTGATTAACGGCGGAATATAATGGAGAGCGAGAGAACTTGAGAGAAGAAGAAGAGAGGCTATATTTAGCCAGTTCATCGGCAGCAGCAGCAGCAGCAGCAGTCTCTCGATCTGTCTGTCTGTGTGTACCGAGCAGCCAGTCCTGGTTGAAAACAAATTTGACCTATATTCCTAGCTGCTGCTGCTGCTGCTGCTGAAATTGGAGAATTTGTGCCCAACACCGCCGCCGCCGTCGTCGCCCAAGTTAGAGCTGTGTGCCACACGAGCAGAATTGAGAGAAGCAGGCGAGAAAGCTGATCTGATCCAAAAGAAGAGAGAGAACTTCGTTATATTTAGCTACTACTGCGGCAGCACTGGCTGAAGTGTTCTCTCGCTCTCTGTATGTCTTCTTCTGCGAATACAGTTCGACAACAACAGCAGCAGCAGCAGTGGGCCACTTTCTGCATCACTTTTAGAAGGAAGGTGCTATTTTTAGAGAGGGGAGGGCATTTTTAAATCTGCCAGAATGGCTGCCTGTGTGAGTGTGAAACATTTTGCCTTGCCACCACCACCACCACCACCACCAGGCAAACGATTCGAGTCTTAAAAATAGTTGTTGTTGTTTTTAGCATTCTTTTTCCGACCAGTCTTCTTTTCTTTGCAGTTTACAGTCTGTGTGACACTCTCTCTCTCCAAAGTCGGTACTTTTCAGATTGCTATCACTTTCCCTATATCTTCCTCATTTTCTTCTTCTTTCCTGTTATTGGAATCGTGTCTTCAGGAGGAAGATGATGATGATGATGATTGTGGTACTACTCTCCACTGCACAGCCACTAAGTGTTTTCGCTGCTCTGCTCTCTCTCTCTTACACTGTCTTCCTGTTTCCTCTTCTTGTTTTCCTCCTCAGTCTCTGTCTCCGTCTCCTCTCATTACCAATATTTGCCTTTCTTTCTTTGGGCCTAGGCGGCTAGTATCGAAGTTGAATAGAGTAGTCTGGAAGAAAAAGAGAGAGAGAAAAAAAGTGTGCGCTTGCGCTTTCAAAATGGTCTTCTAAAAATAGCCGACAGTGAAGCCCACTTTGAATGTGTGTGTGTGTGCATTAGATGAGGAAGAGTAGCCAGCTGTCCTTGGGCGCCAGTAGGAGGAGGTGTAACAGGCAGGTAAGTCCTCTCTCTCTCTCTCTCTCTCTCGGTGAGTGAGCTCTATTAGCTCTCTTCACCACCTGTCACGGCAGCAGCAGCAGCAGTAGTTGTAGTGGTGGAATATTCTCCACAACAAGAAGACACACAGTATCGATTCACACTGAGTGAGTGTGCTCATCGATCCTAATATTATTCCCTCGGAAAAGTTTAGCTGAGAATAAAGTGGGCGAGAGTGAATGTTAGTGTTTTTATGCCCGAGAATAGTTTTGTGCTTACACTCAATTGGTCTTTATTTAGGAAGACCTAATTCTGTCCCATTTACTCTCTTCTAAGCCCACACTTTTCCGTTGAAGTAGAGCTCTCTTTCTTCCTCTTCCTCTTCCTCTTCCTCTTCTCCTGTTGACTACTACTGCTGTCCCTATTCTTACTCANTCACTGCTCATTCTCACTCTGCTCTGCTGGATCGATTCTGCACTACGGGTTTATTTTGCAAGCGCCACACTCACTCACTCACTCACTCACTTTCCGAGTTCTTCCACGAATCCAGTCCACGCTCTCTCTTTCTCAACTGCAGTCGCAGTCGTCTTCGTTGATTGAGCACTATTTTTAGCGGCACTCTTCTGCTCTACACACAATCTCTTTGGTTGCTGGTAACGATTGAGACGACACACAGACACAGAATTTTACCTGGAAACCATTAGAGAGAAAGTTTGTAGAGCAGGTGTAGAACACGTGGAAGGAAGCAAGGCAAAGTTTTTCTTTGTAAC